GCAAAAATTCAGTTCAGTTTCTCAGTTTTATCAAAAATGTTCGAAAGGAAGTAAAATATAAAATAAACAAATAATGATAATGTCAATAAATGGTCAGCATAACTAAACATCGTATGTGCAACACTTAACATCTGTATTGTACCTGATCGTAGCGTTCTTAGAAAACAGCGCGTTTGAGAGTGCACGCAGCCAACTGTGCGTCAGGTATTTTGAGCTACTTCAGGGAGGAGAGGCAGACCGGATAGAACGTAAATATTCCTCAGTTTCAGACACCGATGTAAACGATCTTCGACTCCCGTCTTTGGCTGTAATGGACAGTCTCGCAGGGAAAAGCAAAGCTGGTTTGAGCCCCAAATTGTACAACTCCCCCATCACCCGTCGGTATTTAGAGCGTTGTGCCATCACCTCAGGTGCATAGTCCTCATATATGGCAATTGGGTGGCCTTGAAACATCAGCTTCCCTCTTTTGGTTCTCGCTTCACGGATTATCATTTCCTTTTGCTGATAACGGTGTAACCGGATGATGACCGCGCGTGGCTTTTCACCGGCCGCAGGTTTGTTGACGAGAGCCCTGTGGGCTCGGTCAATCTCCGGTGGAGAAGAAAGAACATCTTTTCCCAGAGTATCAAATAGAAGTTGTGAGAAGAAGGTATAGGGTCGCGGTCCCTCCATCGCTTCTGGTAGGCCGATAATGCGGATGTTATTTCGGCGGCTCCGTGATTCAAGATCGGTGACTTTCGCGAGCAGCTTAGCGTTACTGTCGGACAGGGCGGCGCAGGTCGCTTCCAGCGTTAGCATGCGCTCGTCAACAGCGTTAGCATTAGATTCAAGAGAAGCAATCTTAGAAGAATGTTCTGTTACCGCAACTTGAACGCAGTCGATTTTTGACTCGAGTGAGGATATGGTAGACTTAAATTCGGCTGATAAGGCCTGGCGGTGTTCCTCCAACAGCTTCGCAATCTCCGCCATTTTGAGCTCGCTGGAGACGTTGTCAGCAAAGTCCGTTTTGGTGTCTTTTTTAGTTTGTTTACTCGATTTTGAGGTCATGTTGACACTAAAATGTAAACTACGTCGTTGTGGTCAGGTTTATAGACAATATTATGTACAAAGTGGCTGCAAAATCACAGCAATAGCGGGAGCTACGCGTAGACACGTCTACTCCATCTGCTGTCCGACGTCGTCTCCCTGAATTACATCTTTGCAGTTCAGTTGATTTGAAAGATTGTGCTGATGTTTTTCCTGAACTTCAGCACAGCAAATGTAAAGCACTGAGATTTCACCTTACTGTGGCGCAGCTGTAGTTCTGTGTATTTTCCTCCACTGATGCTGACAACCAGAAACATTTTAATGTGTAAAAGGAAGCAGAAAGTCTTGAGGTCTAAACTAAAAAAGTAATTATTATTAAATAGAGACTTATCATCAAATGCTAAATATCACACAGTTTTTATGGGGATCTTCAAATGACAGAGAGACTTGAGTTAAACTGAGGTCATCGTGAGCACAGTTCTGCTTCCTGTTGAAGCGAGTCGTTTTCTGTCTTCATCTGTTTCAGGAAGGATCAAAATCTGTTCTTGTTGACTTTATTATTATGATTTTTTGAATCAGTTTTTAATCTTTGACATGATTTTGATCAGTGACTGAAGTTAAACATGACCTAATGTAGTGATGTGTTCAGCTGAAGCGTCTGTGTCTGTCAAATCTCTATTTTCAGGATCTGGGTAATTCTTCAACTACGAGCACTTTTATGTCCTTTGATCAAATATCCAAACATAAATATAATTTTGTTCGAAGTCCTCTTTCTTTGTCAAACTAACAATAAAACCTTCTTAAAAAAATTACTACCTTTCTATTATATATTTTTCATATTATTCAACCTTCTTTTAGGTGTCAAAATCTTTGTCGCACACTCAGAGTTTTAAACTTCAACAATGAAAAGAACATTTTAAAGTATTATTTATCTGGTATCTATTAATGTATCTTAATGAAGCACTAGTGAAATAAGGTAAATGTTTTATAGTTGTAAATGTGAGACTATCATCAATATTATTTTTTATATAAAATATAGCTGTCGCACAGTATCAGTGTCATTTCCACCACAACACTGTAATGTCTCTTTAAAAGGTTTGTGTGAAAGATTATTTAGGTGGTTTCTATGAAAATGAATAGTGCCATCTGAGAACATGTATAGGATGGAGGGAATTTAAGTTTTCATCAACAACACTTGAAAAAAATCAAGATAAATATTGCTTGATAAGGAAATACATTTATTCTACATCATTTCCAAACATGCTGTCCCTTCAAAGATGTTTTTAAAAACCAAAACAAAATGAAGGTAAATAAGAGTGTTTTGTATATATGAAAGACTTCAATTCAAAGCTAATCGGTGAAGCTATTTTTCATTATTTTCACAATAAACTGTTGAAATGTCATTTCCATCACCACACACATTATTAAAAACATTTAAAAAGTTCTCATCACACATTAAAGTGTATTCACAATGTATGAGTTCATGCTCTATTTAATATACAAATTCAGTTTATTTATATTCTAATAAGCTCTTAACCAAATTAATATTGAGTTTTAGAGTGTGACAGGTGTACAATTCAGCACACAACTAATTTAGCAGACACAAATGATAATTTTACCAACAAACTACGAATGAATGAAAACGCAATGAGTGGATGAAAAAAAAATTGTAAACTGCAAGAGGCAGATTTGGTCAGTCTTTCTCCAATAGTATCTGCATGCTGACATGGATTTTTCTGCATTGAAGTGCAGATCCCATCCGCTCCACTAGGTGGAATCAGCGAGCTGCTCTTTTAGTCTGAACACCTTTGACAACAGCGACACCAGATCAGCACAGGTACACCGTTTTACTGGCGTCAAGCTGAGCTCCAGCAGATGACAGCTCAGTGACAGACTCATAATGTCAGTCAACAGCAGATATTACAGCCCGACAGTGAAGAAAAGCCACACCAAGTGCAGAAATAGAGAGTAACGCGACTCACCTGTAAGGGACTTTGCTTGGTTGGTTTAGTTTGTAGTGATGTTGTTGTAGTGTTTGTGTTCAGTCATTGCTCTCTCTCTCTCCTCTGCAGCAGTGAAGATACACACGTGTGTCTGTTGTGTTTCTGCTGCAGATCTTTGAGCTGCGCTCAACAGCTGACGCTCCTCCACACGCTCCTCCACATCCAGGCGGATTCACAGCTCCAGGAAAGGTATTTATGAGCTCATATTTCCAGTAGAGAGTCCAGAAAGTGTGTTTGTTGTGCTGCTGCTATGTCGCGTGTTTGTTGGGGGAGGGACTTTCTGTGGAGAGCATGTGATTGGCCAGATTTGGTGTAGAGTCATCAGTACAGTATGAGGAGACTTTAGAAGTAAATGATGATATTTTCCAGTGTCTAATTGTGTTTAGTGACATTTAAAGCCCCACAAGCAGCTGTAAGATAATTTGAAACATGTTCATGTGTCTGATTGAAGAATAAGCTTGTTTTCCACATTTTGAATAGTGAAATATAATAATATATTCGCATATGATGCAGTTTACATTTATTTAAAATAATTTACATTTGATATGAATTATTTGTGTTTATTTAGTTTTTTTTTTCAAAATGTGCAGAATGTGGTTATCCTCCCATTGGAGAAAGAAATGTGGGTTTATGTGTGTGGTGATGGTGTAGTGGTCAGAGCACACATCATGACATCTGAAGCTGTTACAGAATACCTGGGTTCAAATCCAAGCACTACTGCTGCTTTTTACTGCTGAGATAATCAGAAAAACAACATAGTAATTTTATGTGTGTGTTCTCACACTAATTACCCTGCACTTGCAGTGGTGTGAGCCACACATCGAGGTGGGTTTCGTACCCAGGCCTCTGTCGTTACCTTTTCCAACACAACCATGTGTTCATCCACTAGCCCATCATGGCTTTCAGTCTGTCAGCTGCTGTTTGGGCCACACTGTCTGATTGAATCCCATCAACCGAAAGTAAAGTAAGCAATAGTGGGATTTGAACCCATGTCTCCTGTATGTCAGGCAGAGGCTCATCCACTGAACCACAGGGCTTGACATCAGGCATTAGTTGTTTTGTGAGCCAAATTACAAAGAAACATATGTCAAACCTTGTTTATGATGAAAACAGTGATAAAGCCTCATTCAGACACATTGTTCACCATCTAGACTCAGTGGCTCAAGTCATAAACTATTGATCTTTAATCAAGGAGACCCGGGTTCAAACCTCACTATGGCTAATGTCCATCTTGACCTTATTATACTGACCAGGAGCCCCTGATGATGGAACGAAACCCATGATGGGTGAATAAACACAAGTTCTCTGAGGAAGAGACTCATAAAGACAAGAGTTCAAATCTGACTTGTATCTCGATCTGGCAGAAATGAGATTCGATCCTTCACACTTCTAAATAGCAGGCGAACGCTCATCCTTTGAGCCACAGGGTTTGACATTTGGCAGCAGGTTTTTCGTGGCCCAAATTACAAAGAAACATGTGTCAAACCCTGGTCGTTCTGAGAATAGTCATAAACCCCCAATCTGACCTCTCCTTCACTGTCCAGACTCAGTGGCTCAGGTCTTAAAGTAGTGAGTTTTAATCTAGGAGACCCGGGTTCAATCCTCACCATGGCTAATGTCCCACACATTTCATTATGTTCACCAAGATGATGGACGCTGATGTGAAACTAATGATGGTTGATGAGTGAATAAACACAAGTTCTCTGAGGAAGAGACTCATAAAGACAAGGGTTCAGATTTGACATACATCTTGTTTTATTGAATCAGCTCACACACAGGTCAGCAGTCCAACATCAGTTCCAGCAAGTGTTCAGACATGGAGATCTGTGGCTCTGTGGTAAGAGCGCTGCCCCACGGCTTCAGGGGTTGCTGGTTCAAGGCCAGCCAGAACTCTGCGATATGAGTGAATGGTGAGTGAGTGTGAGGCGCGCCTGAAGAAGGGGGGATACCAGTTCGGTCTCCCCCTGGAGCTTCCGGAGCCGTGTCCAGCAGGGGTTATACTTTACAGCCTGGCAAAAAATTTAAAATGAACAGTATAAAAATTCTGGACCTGCGTCCCTTCCCCACCCGTTTCGGTTACCATCATTTACTTTGTAGAGGAGTGACCCTCCACAAAGCAAATGATGGTAACCGACATGTGGAACAGACAAACACACAACCAATCACACGCATGATGTACATCACCTGTGCAGCAGCAGATGATCATCATCAGTACAGTCAGTGTCTGTCCACTCGTCTCTGCTTCTGTTCAACAGGCTTGCAGTCCACAACACTTCACTGATCCTGTAGAGTCGACACACAAATCAACACATTATTACACACACTGAATATCTGATCTAACAATAGACAAATAGACAAATATTACATGTGTATCGAATATTGCGCCCTCCTGTGGAGATTATTTTGAATTACACCTTTGCAAATCTTAAATCTGCTGAATTTAAAATATTCGCTATAACAGCACCTTCTTGTGGTGATTTTTGTGAACTGCACTGCTGCCATTCTAAAATACTAAATTTCAAAGTTTCTCCCTCCTGTGGAGATATTTCTGAATTACACCACGGCGAATCTATTGACTTTTAAATATTTGCCCTCGTGTGGTGATTTTGGTGAATGACACCACTGCAAATGTAATTGAATGAATGTAAACATGTCGCCCTCCTGTGGAGATATTTCTGAATTACACATTTCCAGATTTATTGATTTGAAAGATTGTGCTGATGTTTTTTCTGAATTTTAGCACAGCAAATGTAAAGCACTGAGATTTCACCTTCCTGTGGCGCAGCTGTCGTTATGTGTATTTTCCTCCTCTATTGCTGACAACCAACATTTTATTGCCCTCATTTAGAGATTTCTCAGAATTACACCATAACAAATCTTATGAGTTTAAATATTATAATATATATTACTCTTGTGCTGATGTTTGTAAACTGCACTGCTGCTGTCATAAAATAATGAAGTTAAACGTTTCACGCTTGTGTAAAGATATTTCTGAATTACACCTTTGCAAATCAAATGATTCTGAGGTGCTGCATATTCTGCATTGATTCAATAAGCTCAATTGTTCTCTGATATTTAGTAGGTTTGTGATTTGTTTAGGTAAACCTCCAGAAACAGTTTAATATGCTCATTCATTTCCTATAAAATATGACTAGAGTCAGAAGGTTCATATCAACCATATTTATGAATTTGAGTAAGCTGTGATCTGACTTGCGGCCTGCATTATTTTGTTATGGATAAATTTAGGCTACATTATAATTAAACTTAACAAAAGAGACCGGCAGAGATTTATTCTGTTGTATTTTGAAGCTCTGATATAAAACAGGCAGAATTAATATCAACCTCTGCTTCAACTGTTGGTGTTTAATAAAGTGTTTTGCAGTTCTTTCACTTCAGAAAGATTACAGTAATAGCCGAGTGATTGACTATTTTTAAATGTGCATTTTGTAGTATGTACACACTTATACTCAGCAGACTACAAAATACTCTTATATAGATCAAAATGGCAGAGGACTGAGCAGTGGACTGAATGTGGATAATATGAATGTGTTTGTGAATCAGCTGATGTCCACAGTAGACTGTAAACAAACACAGTGAATCTCTGCTATTGGACATCTCCACTGATTTATTTATTCTTCAGGACTCAAATTCTTAAATTTGACATAAAAATTGTGCAGCATCCATAGAAACGTCTGAAATGTTTATTTGACAAGCACATACCAACTTCATCTGCAGTAAAGACAGTAAAACAAATCAATACAGCTTCAGCTGCTCTCTGTTTAAAGTCACATTTTCTCAGTTCAAGCGGACATTCACTGATCAGTTTGTTTATGTTTTACATTTTATTCAACAATATTTTTTATGTTGAGCCTGAAATCAATAGTTTTTTGAAAATTGTTTCGTATTTTAATGATAATTATTTGATATTTCTACACTGTCAATCAAAAATATGCCCTGAAACTCTAAATAAAGTGAGAAAATTAATCACTTATGAATGATTAGATGTTTGAGTATATGCTTTAAACATTAAAAATTAGTTAAACAGACAGACATGTAGCAAAACTGTGCTCACGATGATCTGAGTTTAATTCCTGCCTCTCTGCCGATCCTGATTTAAATAGTATTTATTTATTCAGCGAGCTGCTCTTTTAGTCTGAACACCTTTGACAACAGCGACACCAGATCAGCACAGGTACACCGTTTTACTGGCGTCAAGTTGAGCTCCAGCAGATGACAGCTCAGTGACAGACTCATAATGTCAGTCAACAGCAGATATTACAGCCCGACAGTGAAGAAAAGCCACACCAAGTGCAGAAATGGAGAGTAACGCGACTCACCTGTAAGGGACTTTGCTTCGTTGGTTTAGTTTGTAGTGATGTTGTTGTAGTGTTTGTGTTCAGTCATTGCTCTCTCTCTCTCTCTCCTCTGCAGCAGTGAAGATACACACGTGTGTCTGTTGTGTTTCTGCTGCAGATCTTTGAGCTGCGCTCAACAGCTGATGCTCCTCCACACGCTCCTCCACATCCAGGCGGATTCACAGCTCCAGGAAAGGTATTTATGAGCTCATATTTCCAGTAGAGAGTCCAGAAAGTGTGTTTGTTGTGCTGCTGCTCTGTCGCGTGTTTGTTGGGGGAGGGACTTTCTGTGGAGAGCATGTGATTGGCCAGATTTGGTGTAGAGTCATCAGTACAGTATGAGGAGACTTTAGAAGTAAATGATGATATTTTCCAGTGTTTAATTGTGTTTAGTGACATTTAAAGCCCCACAAGCAGCTGTAAGATAATTTGAAACATGTTCATGTGTCTGATTGAAGAATAAGCATGTTTGTCACATTTTGAATAGTGAAATATAATAATATATTCGTATATGATGCAGTTTACATTTATTTAAAATAATTTACATTTGATATGAATTATTTGTGTTTATTTAGTTTTTTTTTTTCAAAATGTGTAGAATGTGGTTATCCTGCCATTGGAGAAAGAAATGTGGGTTTATGTGTGTGGTGATGGTGTAGTGGTCAGAGCACACAGCAGGACATCTGAAGCTGTCACAGCAGACCTGGGTTCAAATCCAAGAACTGCTGCTGCTTTTTACTGCTGAGATAATCAGAAAAACAACAAAGTAATTTTATGTGTGTGTTCCCGCTCTAATTACCTTGCACACACATTGGTGTGAGCCACACATCGAGGTGGGTTTTGTACCCAGGCCTCGGTCGTTACCTTGTCCACCACAATCTTGTGTTCATCCACTAGCCCATCATGGCTTTCAGTCTGTCAGCTGCTGTTTGGGCCACACTGTTTGATTGAATTCCAGCAACCGAAAGTAAAGAAAGCAATAGTGGGATTTGAACCCATGTCTCCTGTATGTCAGGCGAAGGTTCATCCACTGAACCACAGGGCTCAACATCAGGCAGTAGTTGTTTTGTGAGCCAAATTACAAAGAAACATAGGGTGAACCCTGGTCATGATGAAAACAGTGATAAAGCCTCATTCAGAAACATTGTTCACCATCTAGACTCAGTGGCTCAAGTCATAAACTATTGATCTTTAATCAAGGAGACCCGGGTTCAAACCTCACTATGGCTAATGTCCATCTTGACCTCATTATACTGACCAGGAGCCCCTGATGATGGAACGAAACCCATGATGGGTGAATAAACACAAGTTCTCTGAGGAAGAGACTCATAAAGACAAGAGTTCAAATCTGACTTGTATCTCGATCTAGCAGAAATGAGATTCGATCCTTCACACTTCTAAATAGCAGGCGAACGCTCATCCTTTGAGCCACAGGGTTTGACATTTGGCAGTAGGTTTTTCGTGGCCCAAATTACAAAGAAACATGTGGCAAACCCTGGTCATAATGAGGATAGTGATAAACCCCCAATCTGACATCTCCTTCATTGTCCAGACTCAGTGGCTCAGGTCTTAATGTGTTGATCTTTAATCTAAGAGACCCGGGTTCAATCCTCACCATGGCTAATGTCCCACTGAGTTCATTATGTTCATCAAGATGATGGACGCTGATGTGAAACTAATGATGGTTGATGAGTGAATAAACACAAGTTCTCTGAGGAAGAGACTCATAAAGACAAGGGTTCAGATCTGACATATATCTTGTTTTATTGAATCAGCTCACACACAGGTCAGCAGTCCAACATCAGTTCCAGCAAGTGTTCAGACATGGAGATCTGTGGCTCTGTGGTAAGAGCGCTGCCCCACGGCTTCAGGGGTTGCTGGTTCAAGGCCAGCCAGAACTCTGCGATATGAGTGAATGGTGAGTGAGTGTGAGGCGCGCCTGAAGAAGGGGGGATACCAGTTCGGTCTCCCCCTGGAGCTTCCGGAGCCGTGTCCAGCAGGGGTTATACTTTACAGCCTGGCAAAAAATTTAAAATGAACTGTATAAAAATTCTGGACCTGCGTCCCTTCCCCACCCGTTTCGGTTACCATCATTTACTTTGTAGAGGAGTGACCCTCCACAAAGCAAATGATGGTAACCGACATGTGGAACAGACACACACACAACCAATCACACACATGATGTACATCACCTGTGCAGCAGCAGATGATCATCATCATCATTACAGTCAGTGTCTGTCCACTCGTCTCTGCTTCTGTTCAACAGGCTTACAGTCCACAACACTTCACTGATCCTGTAGAGTCGACACACAAACAAAAACATTATTACACACACTGAATATCTGATCTAACAATAGACAAATAGACAAATATTACATGTGTATCAAATATTGCGCCCTCCTGTGGAGATTTCTCTGAATTACACTTTTGCAAATCTTGAATCTGCTGAATTAAAAATATTCGCCCTCTTGTGGGGATTTTTGTGGACTGCACTGCTGCCGCTCTAAAATAATGAATGTTTCTCCCTCCTGTGGAGATATTTCTGAATTACACCACTGCGAACTTGATGAATTCTAAATCTTTGCCCTCGTGTGGTGATTTTGGTGAATGACACCAGTGCATATCTAATAGTATGAATTTAAACATGTCGCCCTCCTGTGGAGATATTTCTGATTTACACCTTTGCAGTTCAGTTGATTTGAAAGATTGTGCTGATGTTTTTCCTGAACTTCAGCACAGCAAATGTAAAGCACTGAGATTTCACTTTCCTGTGGCGCAGCTGTAGTTCTGTGTATTTTCCTCCACTGATGCTGACAACCAGAAACACTTTAATGTGTAAAAGGAAGCAGAAAGTCTTGAGGTCTAAACTAAAAAAGTAATTATTATTAAATAGAGACTTATCATCAAATGCTAAATATCACACAGTTTTTATGGAGATCTTCAAATGACAGCGAGGCTTGAGTTAAACTGAGGTCATCGTGAGCACAGTTCTGCTTCCTGTTGAAGCGAGTCGTTTTCTGTCTTCATCTGTTTCAGGAAGGATCAAAATCTGTTCTTGTTGACTTTATTATTATGATTATTTGAATCAGTTTTTAATCTTTGACATGATTTTGATCAGTGACTGAAGTTAAACATGACCTAATGTAGTGATGTGTTCAGCTGAAGCGTCTGTGTCTGTCAAATCTCTATTTTCAGGATCTGGGTAATTCTTCAACTACGAGCACTTTTATGTCCTTTGATCAAATATCCAAACATATATATAATTTTGTTCAAATTCCTCTTTCTTTGTCAAACTAACAATAAAACCTACTTAAAAATGTAAAACCAAAAAACAAAATGAGGGTAAATAAGAGTGTTTTGTATATATGAAAGGCTTGTATCAATTCAAAGTTAATCGGTGAAGCTATTTTTCATTATTTTCACAATAAACTGTTGAAATGTCATTTCCATCACCACACACATTATTAAAAACATTTAAAAAGTTCTCATCACACATTAAAGTGTATTCACAATGTATGAGTTCATGCTCTATTTAATTTACAAATTCAGTTTATTTATTTTCTAATAAGCTCTTAACCAAATTAATATTAAGTTTTAGAGTGTGACAGGTGTACAATCCAGCACACAACTAATTTATTTCACTGACAAATGTATAATTATTATCGATATTGTGGAAATATTTGGTTAAACTAGATACAAAAATGATCTTAGACAATGTTTGACTGCCATCATTTATGTCATTTACAAATATAAGCTGTATATTGAGATGTGCTGGAATTGACATTTGTTCAGTTCACGATGGAGAAAATGTTTCTTTTCTTATCTGAGTTTGTCCTCTTACAGATCTTCAAACTAGACAAAGTGTTTAAACTTATGAGGCTATGTTACGTTAATTTTGAACAAGTTTTTTTTACTCAACTTCACAAGGCTAAAAGTGCCCGTAGTTGAAGAATGGCCCATCTACCAAGCCAGGTCAGAGGTCATGGAGAGCTCTCGAGGGGAACTGGATTCCTGGTGGATTAAAACAACTGATTCCTGAGTTTTTCTATTTTATGTGTAAATTCTCTGTAAAGTAATTTTCTTTGTATGCAGGAGAGATTTTCTGTCTTAGTGTAAGGCAGGGAGATCGACCAGCGAACTCAATGCCAGTGTGAAGCTCTCCTGCCGCAGAACCACAAACTATCTCCAGTAAATTATCTTAATTTCATTGAATCTGCGGCTCAGAGTCTTCTCTTGATCTGACACAGCAGTCGTTTTGGTCTCAACTGTTCATTTCCCTCCTAACAATGTCAATATAATTATTAAAGCATATACTCAATCATCTAATCATTCATGGGTCATTATTTGTGCTCACTTTATATTGAACTTCAGCACAAATGCTTGATGAACAATGTGGAAATATCAAACCAATACGAATGTAATGTGAAACCTGAATATTAGCCTGTAGGTAATTAATGCACCTCTCATCAATAAAGACACATAGAACTTGTTTGATGAGCTCTTATATTGGGGATGCAGAATGTTTTCAATGCTTACAGATTTAATTGACGCAGACACAAATGATAATTTTACCAACAAAAATACGAACACATTTCCTTCACTAAATGCCTTATAAAGATATAAAGATGACTTTCTGCTTTTGTAAAATCCTATATTGTATTAAACTGATCATTAAGTTTTAAATTATAAGTACGACCACTAGAGGGCATCAGCTCTTTTAGTCTGAACACCTTTGACAACAGCGACACCAGATCAGCACAGGTACACCGTTTTACTGGCGTCAAGTTGAGCTCCAGTAGCAGATGACAGCTCAGTGACAGACTCATAATGTCAGTCAACAGCAGATATTACAGCCCGACAGTGAAGAAAAGCCACACCAAGTGCAGAAATAGAGAGTAACGCGACTCACCTGTAAGGGACTTTGCTTCGTTGGTTTAGTTTGTAGTGATGTTGTTGTAGTGTTTGTGTTCAGTCATTGCTCTCTCTCTCTCTCTCCTCTGCAGCAGTGAAGATACACACGTGTGTCTGTTGTGTTTCTGCTGCAGATCTTTGAGCTGCGCTCAACAGCTGACGCTCCTCCACACGCTCCTCCACATCCAGGCGGATTCACAGCTCCAGGAAAGGTATTTATGAGCTCATATTTCCAGTAGAGAGTCCAGAAAGTGTGTTTGTTGTGCTGCTGCTCTGTCGCGTGTTTGTTGGGGGAGGGACTTTCTGTGGAGAGCATGTGATTGGCCAGATTTGGTGTAGAGTCATCAGTACAGTATGAGGAGACTTTGGAAGTAAATGATGATATTTTCCAGTGTTTAATTGTGTTTAGTGACATTTAAAGCCCCACAAGCAGCTGTAAGATAATTTGAAACATGTTCATGTGTCTGATTGAAGAATAAGCATGTTTTCCACATTTTGAATAGTGAAATATAATAATATATTCGCATATGATGCAGTTTACATTTATTTAAAATAATTTACATTTGATATGAATTATTTGTGTTTATTTAATTTTTTTTTCAAAATGTGCAGAATGTGGTTATCCTCCCATTGGAGACAGAAATGTGGGTTTATGTATGTGGTGATGGTGTAGTGGTCAGAGCACACAGCAGGACATCTGAAGCTGTCACAGAATACCTGGGTTCAAATCCAAGAACTGCAGCTGCTTTTTACTGCTGAGATAATCAGAAAAACAACATAGTAATTTTATGTGTGTGGTCCCGCTCTAATTACCTTGCACTTGTGTTGGTTTGAGCCACACATCGAGGTGGGTTTCGTACCCAGGACTCTGTCGGTACCTTGTACACCGTGACCATGTGTTCATCCACTAGCCCATCATGGCTTTCAGTCTGTCAGCTGCTGTTTGGGCCACACTGTCTGATTGAATCCCATCAACCGAAAGTAAAGTAAGCAATAGTGGGATTTGAACCCATGTCTCCTGTATGTCAGGCAGAGGCTCATCCACTGAACCACAGGGCTTGACATCAGGCATTAGTTGTTTTGTGAGCCAAATTACAAAGAAACATATGTCAAACCTTTTTATGATGAAAACAGTGATAAAGCCTCATTCAGACACATTGTTCACCATCTAGACTCAGTGGCTCAAGTCATAAACTATTGATCTTTAATCAAGGAGACCCGGGTTCAAACCTCACTATGGCTAATGTCCATCTTGACGTCATTATACTGACCAGGAGCCCCTGATGATGGAACGAAACCCATGATGGGTGAATAAACACAAGTTCTCTGAGGAAGAGACTCATAAAGACAAGAGTTCAAATCTGACTTGTATCTCGATCTAGCAGAAATGAGATTCGATCCTTCACACTTCTAAATAGCAGGCGAACGCTCATCCTTTGAGCCAAAGGGTTTGACATTTGGCAGCAGGTTTTTCGTGGCCCAAATTACAAAGAAACATGTGGCAAACCCTGGTCGTTATGAGAATAGTCATAAACCCCCAATCTGACCTCTCCTTCACTGTCCAGACTCAGTGGCTCAGGTCTTAAAGTATTGAGCTTTAATCTAGGAGACCCGAGTTCAATCCTCACCATGGCTAATGTCCCACACAATTCATTATGTTCACCAAGATGATGGACGCTGATGTGAAACTAATGATGGTTGATGAGTGAATAAACACAAGTTCTCTGAGGAAGAGACTCATAAAGACAAGGGTTCAGATCTGACATATATCTTGTTTTATTGAATCAGCTCACACACAGGTCAGCAGTCCAACATCAGTTCCAGCAAGTGTTCAGACATGGAGATCTGTGGCTCTGTGGTAAGAGCGCTGCCCCACGGCTTCAGGGGTTGCTGGTTCAAGGCCAGCCAGAACTCTGCGATATGAGTGAATGGTGAGTGAGTGTGAGGCGCGCCTGAAGAAGGGGGGATACCAGTTCGGTCTCCCCCTGGAGCTTCCGGAGCCGTGTCCAGCAGGGGTTATACTTTACAGCCTGGCAAAAAATTTAAAATGAACAGTATAAAAATTCTGGACCTGCGTCCCTTCCCCACCCGTTTCGGTTACCATCATTTACTTTGTAGAGGAGTGACCCTCCACAAAGCAAATGATGGTAACCGACATGTGGAACAGACACACACACAACCAATCACACGCATGATGTACATCACCTGTGCAGCAGCAGATGATCATCATCAGTACAGTCAGTGTCTGTCCACTCGTCTCAGCTTCTGTTCAACAGACTTACAGTCCACAACACTTCACTGATCCTGTAGAGTCGACACACAAATCAACACATTATTACACACGCTGAATATCTGATCTAACAATAGACAAATAGACAAATATTACATAAGTATCAAATATTGCGCCCTCCTGTGGAGATTTCTCTGAACTACACTTTTGCAAATCTTGAATCTACTGAATTTAAAATATTCGCCCTCTTGTGGGGATTTTTGTGGACTGCACTGCTGCCGCTCTAAAATAATAAAGGTTTCTCCCTCCTGTGGAGATATTTCTGAATTACATCTTTGCAGTTCAGTTGATTTGAAAGATTGTGCTGATGTTTTTCCTGAACTTCAGCACAGCAAATGTAAAGCACTGAGATTTCACCTTCCTGTGGCGCAGCTGTAGTTCTGTGTATTTTCCTCCACTGATGCTGACAACCAGAAACATTTAATGTGTAAAAGGAAGCAGAAAGTCTTGAGGTCTAAACTAAAAAAGTAATTATTATTAAATAGAGACTTATCAAATGCTAAATATCACACAGTTTTTATGGGGATCTTCAAATGACAGCGAGGCTTGAGTAAACTGAGGTCATCGTGAGCACAGTTCTGCTTCCTGTTGAAGCGAGTCGTTTTCTGTCTTCATCTGTTTCAGGAAGGATCAAAATCTGTTCTTGTTGACTTTATTATTATGATTATTTGAATCAGTTTTTAATCTTTGACATGATTTTGATCAGTGACTGAAGTTAAACATGACCTAATGTAGTGATGTGTTCAGCTGAAGCGTCTGAGTCTGTCAAATCTCTATTTTCAGGATCTGGGTAATTCTTCAACTACGAGCACTTTTATGTCCTTTGATCAAATATCCAAACATATATATAATTTTGTTCAAATTCCTCTTTCTTTGTCAAACTAACAATAAAACCAACTTAAAAAAATGTAAAATCAAAACAAAATGAGGGTAAATAAGAGTGTTTTGTATATATGAAAGGCTTGTATCAATTCAAAGTTAATCGGTGAAGCTATTTTTCATTATTTTCACAATAAACTGTTGAAATGTCATTTCCATCACCACACACATTATTAAAAACATTTAAAAAGTTCTCATCACACATTAAAGTGTATTCACAATGTATGAGTTCATGCTCTATTTAATATACAAATTCAGTTTATTTATTTTCTAATAAGCTCTTAACCAAATTAATATTAAGTTTTAGAGTGTGACAGGTGTACAATTCAGCACACAACTAATTTATTTCACTGACAAATATATAATTATTATCGATATTGTGGAAAGATTTGGTTAAACTAGATACAAAAATGACCTTAGACAATGTTTGACTGCCATCATTTATGTCATTTAGAAATATAAGCTGTATATTGAGATGTGCTGGAATTGACATTTGTTCAGTTCACGATGGAGAAAATGTTTCTCTTCTTATCTGAGTTTGTCCTCTTACAGATCTTAAAACTAGACAAAGTGTTTAAACTTATGAGGCTATGTTACGTTAATTTTGAACAAGTTTTTTTACTCAACTTCACAAGGCTAAAAGTGCCCGTAGTTGAAGAATGGCCCATCTACCAAGCCAGGTCAGAGGTCATGGAGAGCTCTCGAGGGGAACTGGATTCCTGGTGGATTAAAACAACTGATTCCTGAGTTTTTCTATTTTATGTTTAAATTCTCTGTTAAGTAATTTTCTTTGTATGCAGGAGAGATTTTCTGTCTTAGTGTAAGGCAGGGAGAACAGCCAGCGAACTCAATGCCAGTGTGAAGCCCTCCTGCCGCAGAACCACAAACTATCTCCAGTAAATTATCTTAATTTCATTGAATCTGCGGCTCAGAGTCTTCTCTTGATCTGACACAGCAGTCGTTTTGGTCTCAACTGTTCATTTCCCTCCTAACAATGTCAAAATAATTATTAAAGCATATACTCAATCATCTAATCATTCATGGGTCATTATTTGTGCTCACTTTATATTGAACTTCAGCACAAATGCTTGATTAACAATGTGGAAATATCAAACTAATACGAATGTAATGTGAAACAATTTCCAGAAGCTGATGATGACAGACTTGACATCAAATATTGATCAATTAAATGCTAAACATGAATATTGAACCTCCAAGCTTGTGACTTTCTCACCATGATGTTCTTCACTCCAGATGATCATTTAGCCTGTAGGTAATTAATGCGCCACTCATCAATAAAGACACATAGAACTTGTTTGATGAGCTCTTATATTGGGGATGCAGAATGTTTTCATTGCTTACATATTTAATTGATGCAGACACAAATGATAATTTTACCAACAAAAATACGAACACATTTCCTTCACTAAATGCCTTATAAAGATATAAAGATGACTTTCTGCTTTTGTAAAATCCTATATTGTATTAAACTGTTCATTGAGTTTTAAATTATAAGTACGACCACTAGAGGGCATCAGCTCTTTTAGCCTGAACACCTTTGACAACAGCGACACCAGATCAGCACAGGTACACCGTTTTACTGGCATCAAGTTGAGCTCCAGTAGCAGATGACAGCTCAGTGACAGACTCATAATGTCAGTCAACAGCAGATATTACAGCCCGACAGCGAAGAAAAGCCACACCAAGTGCAGAAATGGAGAGTAACTCGACTCACCTGTAAGGGACTTTGCTTCGTTGGTTTAGTTTGTAGTGATGTTGTTGTAGTGTTTGTGTTCAGTCATTGCTCTCTCTCTCTCTCTCCTCTGCAGCAGTGAAGATACACACGTGTGTCTGTTGTGTTTCTGCTGCAGATCTTTGGGCTGCGCTCAACAGCTGACGCTCCTCCACACGCTCCTCCACATCCAGGCGGATTCACAGCTCAAGGAAAGGTATTTATGAGCTCATATTTCCAGTAGAGAGTCCAGAAAGTGTGTTTGTTGTGCTGCTGCTCTGTCGCGTGTTTGTTGGGGGAGGGACTTTCTGTGGAGAGCATGTGATTGGCCAGATTTGGTGTAGAGTCATCAGTACAGTATGAGGAGACTTTAGAAGTAAATGATGATATTTTCCAGTGTTTAATTGTGTTTAGTGACATTTAAAGCCCCACAAGCAGCTGTAAGATATTTTGAAACATGTTCATGTGTCTGATTGAAGAATAAGCATGTTTTCCACAATTTGAATAGTGAAATATAATAATATATTCGCATATGATGCAGTTTACATTTATTTAAAATAATTTACATTTGATATGAATTATTTGTGTTTATTTAGTTTTTTTTTTCAAAATGTGTAGAATGTGGTTATCCTGCCATTGGAGAAAGAAATGTGGGTTGATGTGTGTGGTGATGGTGTAGTGGTCAGAGCACACAGCAGGACATCTGAAGCTGTCACAGCACACCTGGGTTCAAATCCAAGCACTGCTGCTGCTTTTTACTGCTGAGATAATCAGAAAAAAACAAAGTATTGTAATGTTTGTGTTCCCCCGCCTCCTAATTTCCTTGCTATTTGTGCTTTCGTTGGTGTGAGCCACACATCGAGGTGAGTTTCATACCCAGGCCTCTGCCGTAACCTTGTCCACCGCAACCATATGTTCATCCACTAGCCCATCACGGCTTTCATGCTTCTTGGGCCACTTTGTCTGACTGAATCCCAGCAAGTGACAGTAAAGTAAGCAATAGTTGGGTTTGAACCCATGTCTTCTGTATGACAGTCTAAGGCTTATCCACTGAGCCATGGGGCTTGACATCTGGTGATGGTTGTTTTGTGAGCCAAATTAGAAAGAAATATTTGTCATACTTTGGTCATGATGAAAACAGTGATAAAGCCTCATTCTGATACGAGGTTATCTGTCTGGACTCAGTGGCTCAGTTCATAAAGTGTTGATCTTTAATCAAAGAGACCCGGGTTCAAACCTCACTTTGGCTGATGTCCATCTTGACATCATTATGTTCATCAACAGCATCCGAACAGTTCAAACAGAGCAGTATGTGAACCCAAAGATGAGTGATTAAACCACAAGTTCTCTGAGGAAGAGACTCATAAAGAGAGATGCGGGATGCGATCCTTCATACGTCTGTATGGCAGGCGAACACTCATCCACTGAGCCACTGGGTTTGACATTTGGTGACAGGTTTTCCGTAGGCCAAATTACAAAGAAATTTGCCAAACCATGGTCGTGGTGAAATTAGTGATAAAGCCCCATTCAGATACCTACTTCACTGTCTAGACTCAGTGGCTCAAGTCCTAAAGTGTGGAGCCCTAAACAAGGAGACCCGGGTTCAAACCTCACTATGACTAATGTTCAACTGAGTTCATTTTATTCACAAAGAGCTCATGATCACCGGACTTTAAAGTAGAAAGTCACAGTGTTGCTGAGATGGAGTCATGGGTTTAAATCCCACTTCTATCAACCTCGATGCTGACGTTAGTGTTTTCATACAACACAGACACTCAACTTATGAACAGTAAGGTGAAATTAAGTGGATGAGTGATAAACACAAGTTCTCTGAGGAAGAGACTCATAAAGACAAGAGTTCAATTCTGACTTATATATTGTTTTATTGAAACAGGTCAGCAGTGACATCAATTCCAGCAGGCATACAGACATGAGATCAGTGGCTCTGTGGTAAGATCGCTGCCCCATGACTTTAATGATTGCTGGATCCATCCCAGCCGGATCTTTGCAATATGAGTGGACAGTAAGTGAGTTGTGCCTGGAGAGGTGGGGATACCAGTTCGGTCTCCCCCTGGAGCTTCCGGAGCCATGTCCAGCAGGGGTTATACTTCATTACTGCTGGAAAAAAATAAAATGTATATGTAATGAAAATCTTTGGACCTTCCTCACCTGTTTCGTTTACCATCATTTGCTTTCTAGAGGAGTGACCCTCCACAAAGTAACTGATGGTAACCAACGTAATTAGGGTAAGACAACACACAATCACACACATGATCTACATCACCTGTGCAGCAGCAGATGATCATCATCAGTACAGTCAGTGTCTGTCCACTCGTCTCTGCTTCTGTTCAACAGGCTTACAGTCCACAACACTTCACTGATCCTGTAGAGTCGACACACAAATCAACACATTATTACACACGCTGAATATCTGATCTAACAATAGACAAATAGACAAATATTACATGTGTATCAAATATTGCGCCCTCCTGTGGAGATATTTCTGAACTACACTTTTGCAAATCTGATGAGTTTAAAATGTTCGCCCTCGTGTGGTGATTTTAGTGAATGACACCTCTGCAAATCTAATTGAATGAATTAAAAGATTTTGCCCTTCTGTGGAAATGTTTCTGAATTACACCTTTGCAAAAATAACGAGTTAAAGTTATTCACCCCCTTGTGGCGATTTTTGTGAACTGGTTTGTTTCCATTTTGAAATAATCAATTTAAAACATTCGCCCTCCAGTGGTGATGTTTCTGAATAACGCCTTCGCAAATGTATTGAATTTAAAACATTTGACCTCCTGAACTGCAATTCTGCAATGCTAAAAGTTTCTCCCTCATGTGGAGATTTTAGTGAATTACACCAACTGCATGTTTGTAAAATTTTACAATTACATTTAGAGTTTCCGGGCTTCACGGAAGTCTTTGCATTTCTGACTTTTAGATTCAAGGCCTAGAAAGTACTCATAAACAAACATAGGTCTTTAAACGTACTTGAATTAAAGATAAAATTAAATTAGCTTTTGGTGTTATTTCAACAAATGTCATACTGCTGTCAAAACAGACTTAAAAAAGAAGAAATTCACAATCTTATACAAGAACTATGACAAATAGCTCACACTGTATACATTCTAGTATATTACCAGATTCAAATTGAACATTCATTTTGTTTTCGGCTTAGTCCCTTTATTAATGAGGGGTCACCACAGTGTAATGAACCGCCAACTTATCCAGCATATGCTTTACACAGTGAATGTCCTTCCAGCAGCAACCCATCACTGGGAAACATCCACACACACTCATTAACACAAATACACTACGGTCATTCTTAGCATGCCCAATTCACCTATACCACATCTCTTTGGACTTGTAGGGGAAACTGGAGCACCCGGAGGAAACCAACATGTGCAAACTCCACACAGAAATGCCAACTGAGCCAGCCAAGGTTCGAACCAGCGACCTTCTTGCTGTGAGGTGAATGTGCTATCCACACCGCCCCTTGAATGAGAGGGGTCTGGATGCAGACCTGGTGCAGTGCAATCTGAGCTGCATCCAATGCTTTTTAATGTGCTCACCTAACCCCACCCGTCACAGTGACGTCACTCACTCCATTGAGTGCATTGTGTATAACATTGCATCGCCGAGTGATGCAATCTCAGCTTGCATCATGAAGGCTGCATCCAGATACTACTGCCTCGAATTGAACAACTTTTATAAACATTCTTTGAACACGACTTAAAGATGCACACGAACATTCAGATCATCATTACTCTGATATTTTTAATGTAAATAATGTGTGCAAATGTAAATAGTGTTGTGACAAATGCACCAAAGCCACTGAGAAAAACTTTAAAGTACTATAAAGGTAAAGTTGGTTTTATATTCGCACATTCAGACTTTCCCCTTAATGTTATAATTTCATAAAAGTATTTTTTGCAAACTCTAAATAAAGAAATCATATAAGGAGCCAATGACAATCAAATAAACAGTGTTAATGTTGTTTTCAAGTCATACTTGCATGCTAATTCGGATCGAATATTCAAAGTAGCATGGTAAACAATATAGAGACTTCTAAATGAACGAATGTCTGAATATAAAACCAACTTTGCCTCTATTAAAGTACTTACAGTAGCCCACCAGTATTTTTAGTAGGTCTATTACATAGGATTTTTGATTTGGAGAGAGTTACAATGCCCATTTGTTTAGAGCAACTAAACCACGTTGAGTAAAATGTGCATACCTCTATATTATATAATATTATTTATAAAACATTGAGCTGAGAAGCGGCCCATATATCCTTATGAGAAAACTGAAATAATCGAAAGGCGCAGTTCTCCATCCACTCCACGAGGCGGCATCAGCGAGCTGCGCTGTCAGATTGACGTATTGACAGCATTTGATTACATTCATGCTGTTTTACCGGCGTAAAGTTGAGCTCCAGCAGATGACAGCTTAGTAACAGCCTCATAATGTCAGTCAACAGCACATATTACAACCCGACAGCGAACACAAGGTGCTCTAACGTGCAGAAACGAAGAGTAACGCGACTCACCTGTGACTTTCTTTCGGCGTGAAGAAGCGCTGGTGTGTGAAGTCCTGAGAGTAATGTAGTAAGTTTGTAGTGATGTTGTTGCAGTGTTTGTGTTCATTCATTGCTCTCTCGCTCTCCTCTGCAGCTGAATGACAGTGAGGGCGGATCTGCAGCAGCGAAGACACTCGTGTGTCTGTTGTGTTTCAGCTGCACAGCTTTCACCTGACACCTTTGTCCACATCCAGGCGGATTCAAAGCATCAGGAAAGGTATTTAGGAGCTCATATTACCAGAAGAGAGTCCAGAAGATGTGTTTGTTGTGCTGCCGGTCTGTCACATGTTGTGTTGGGGGAGGGTCTTGCTCTAGAAAGCATTTGATTGGACAGATTTGGTGTAGTGCAGGATGAGTCATCATCATTTTTATTCTGTGAAATAATACACAACTGTGTGAAGAAGACAATATTTATTTCCTAATATTGCTTTCTTGCCTTTGCAAGAACCAGTAATGATTTTTGGAACCAGAGAAATCTGTCAGGTTTGAAATGAAATATGTTCTGAAAATGAATATTAATAATAATAATAATAAATTATACTTATAAATAAATAATACTTATATAATAACAACTAAGGTTGTATTTTTCCTAATAATGTATTTTTTTCAAAGTGTGTACAAAGTGAATTTCCTTAAATGAAAGAAACAAACACTCATTTGTGTGTCTGATAATGGTGTAGTGGTCAAAGCATGAAGCCTGAAATCCATCACCGCGTACCTGGGTTCAAATCCAATCTCAGCTATTACTTTTTACTGCTAATGCAATTTCTAGGGTTTTTTATTATTATTTATTTCAGTTTGTGCGTGATGCCTTCCTTGATATATTAAAATAAATAAATTAAACACTTTCTTACATGCAAATTAAATATCCATCTTCAGTATCATGACTTTTATTGATTGGACAAAGGAGCAGAAACAGTTTATTGATGAGTTTAGCACAGAACAGTACTTCAGACATGTTATATAAACAGACAAAAGTGGAACTTTCAGATTAAGATGCGATGGTTTTTTACAGCACTAAACTACATGATACTGAAATGGTTTTGTTCCTGAGACTGAAACCTCCATCAAGACATTATAAAAAGGCAAGCTTTGGCCAGTGAAGAGAAAAGCGTTGTGGATGTGTCCGAGGACTGATATGCTGGAGAATAGGAAAGAAGGCAGAGTTTTAGCCATCGATTTTCAGATCCTTGGCCACCAGCATTGCAGTGACTGGATGCAGTGATCCACGGTTCTCCTTAAAAGTCTTCACAGCTTCATCACTGTACTTGGAGAAGTTGTACACTTCCCTAAAACAACAGAGACAGAGAGATTAGAGGAGGTCAGGATGAAGACAAGAGGAGATTTGGACATGTAAAAACAGAAGTGCGACCGGTCGGAGTTAAAGAAATGTTTGATTGCTTGGTGCAGCGAGGAAATTACACAAAGCATGAAACATCCTGTTTTCTTTGTTTACCCATAAAGTGACACCATTTTGTGGTGATTTCTCAGTAGGGTTGTTGCAATACACTCATGGCTTGGTTTAGTATGCATTTCAATTCTGAACTCGTTATTTGACTTGGGCTGCATTTACACTGCAGATCTTGATGCTCAAATCTGATTTTTTTGATGACCTGCGTACATCATCTTTTAAAGTGACTCATATACGATTGTCTGCATTTACACAGCACACGGACCAGGAAAAAAAAAGAGCTGGCACTAACTGGCTTATAATGGGGTATATGCCGAAGCATGCTAATAGGACTTTTAATTTGCCATTAACCTGGGTTAAGCGCTTCCGGCAAATTGAATGCCAATGCAAAATCCGGTGCATTTAAGGTCTGTTTTCTTTAAAAAAAATCAGCGATCTCCACTAGCTGAGTGATATCCGAATTAAAGTGGGTCTCAGTTTGTACAAGAAGCACTGCATTAAATTACATTTCCCCCGCCATGTCTTTATTATATGAGCATTTATTTTACCCCAGTATATTCAATGGAGCTTCTGCGTTAGCCTGCCGATTCTGACGGGCGCGTGCGAGTAAACAACTTTGTCTCGTTTTACGCTTGAGCAACTAAATAAATGCTAAAGTTTATTTAACTGAGTGTATTTTAATGACATTACAACATCCATGCTGTATAAGGAACCGTATAAAATGAGAAAAAGTTCACAATGACAGGTCACCGGAAGTGTATCAGCATGGGAACTGCACTAGCTCGGCATATACACTATAAAAGAGCGATTTTTTCTCCATTCCTGTATTTAATCTGTTCGCAGTGTTTACATTTTTTAAAATTCTTTTCGACAAGTTGTTTTACTAAAGTTAATGACAGATAGTTCTCATTTTACCATCTTCTTTTAATGCATTTAGACCAGTAGGCATCTTAATGTAATGTCCATGGCGTGATTTATGCACGTGATGCATGCAATAGATTTATATTAGTTTCTGACAGGATCGGGTTTCAAAAGCACGTCAATAATCAAGCGCATGCTATTATCATCAGCTTAAGAAGTTTGTTATTTCAGATATAGACGCACGGCAAGCGCAAGCAAGAAAGCGATTTGAGGCTAGCTTGTAAAAAAGTAAGGGGAACAGGGTAAATCTGCTCTTCTTCCTGGCTTTGTGGGTGTTGATCAAGATGACGACAAGGTTTGTTAGAGCCCGGATCGACCATGGCTCATTATTATATGCGTATTTAATTACGCTGTAATCTGTAATACGCTGCAATTACGCTGTGTGTGCGTTTTAAACATGGCAGGTCTTTTGTTTTCATTCTGGTTTGTTGCGCAAGCGAATGACGCATCTCTGTAAATAAATAGT